TGTGCTCGTTCGCCAGCTCCTGGCTGGCCGCCTGCAATCAAGCAACATTTTCCGAGATATTTCCGCCACCTAGTCACACATCCACTCATTCAAAGATATCGTCTATGTGTCTTGATGATTACATGAACGCAGTGCAAAAAGCTCGCACACAGAGTTCGTGAGAAGATTGAATGCTGGCGATAAATTCTCTCACGCTACAAAATCACTAGGAAACGGAAAAATCGTTGGAATCTACTCCAAGACTGCGATAGCAACTTCCTTATACCAAACCTAACATTTACTTAGGTTTCAATCCAGACTATTGTTTACAAAGCTTGGCTCTATGCTTTGTTAAGAACAAAAAGAATGGCCGACAGCAGCATTAAACATTAACCACCTCGTTGTTGGAAGTTGTTAGAGCGGCCAACGAAAAAGTAGTTCGCATAAATTTTTTTGTACTTTGCGGGCGAGTTTTCAATTTACGAGATTGCAATACGTCATGATAGGATGAGATGCATATGAGGAGGTGGATTTGGGTATAGAAAAGTGAGAATTCAGCAGCAGTTAAAGACTTCCATGTCCTAAAAATTGCCACACAAGAGGCAAACTAGAACAACGACATTCTTTATGTGGACAGTCGATACCGTAAGACAAGTAAATTTAATCTATTAACGAAAATCCTTTTCACTGAATTGTCACAGGTTTGTCAGAAATCTGACCAAAAATTATTCCTTTTTGCTGTGATTTTGCCTAGCTCACTAGTTTGTTTGTTTCAAGCGTTTTTTTCTATTCATCAATCAACTCACAAACACTAAATCAGCTAGTGTTCACCAACAATCTTCGCACAAAAATGAGGAGAAGCATAAGCACATGATGGTGACTTAGGTATATGAGGGGAAAAAAGCCCAGTAACGAGCTTACCTGCAAGGAGTTCCGTCGTCCAACCCTTAACGCAATGTTCGATAAGTAGCTGGAAGTTCTCGATTTCCAACGATTAATGGTGGATCGTTTAGCGAGTGATTTATGGTTAAGTACACCGGAGTTTTTCCCCTTACGTGCCTGCGCTTCTAGCTCGACGATTGAGTTATGGTAGCCGTTCGAGTAGCTGACCGTACTGGTCTTAGGGCCAGGACCGTTAAGGCTCGACTTGAACGTGCTGCTGGTGAACGTGGCCGTCGAGGACGAGTTCGTTCGCACGTGACCGAGTTTACGGTGCGGCAGAGTGCGCCGCAGACCGTTGCCGTGCAACTTATCGTTCGCTTTCTGACTCAGGATCGCCGCCTGCTTGTTGAGCAGCGTGGTCGTGCGCAGGTAAGTGACGAACATCACACAAAATGGAATCAAAAACAACAACGTTGAGCCGTAAATGATATAGTGGCGGCTGAATATCATACAGGAATTGTTCTGCAGAATGTTTGAGTGATCATACGAGGCGAGCACTGCTATCGGGCAGGAGACGATCAGGGTTATTATCCACACGAGTGAGATCTTCACTATGATCATGGTTTTGGACTTGTTACGCGTCCGAAGGGGCTGCGATATGCCGAGATACCGATCCAGCGAGATCACTGACATGTGTACGATACTAGCGCTACAGAGAAATACATCTGAATACACGTAGAGCAGACACAGCGACACATTCCATGTCCAAACTCCTGAAAATGTGCCACATAAATGAACGCTCACTACCTATTACACACTAAAGTGAAATTGTTTTTACTTTTCCATAGAGCAAACTCATAAAAATATGAGGAGTTTTTAGTACTCCTGAGCTGCTTGAATTTCGAGCGCTCCCGAAAATCCAGGAACTGGTAGCAAATTAAGTTAGGGAGGGTGCGAGAATAACATTAAGGCTGAGCTGCTTTTTTCAAGTGAGATGACGAGTCGTACTGAACGTTATGGACATAAACATATTACGACAACAAAATTAGACATTTTTTCTGGGCTAATAAGTTTCAGAAATTAGGCAAAGACGATAAAAACTATTCCTAGCACTTATACTGACAGTTATGAGCGAAAATAATATTCGTCAAAAAACAAGGTGTTTAACTTTTATCAGCAAAAGAGAATTGATGGCGCACAATTAGTTCGACTAAGCATAGCAACTAAGTAAAGGACATGTATCGATAACTAGACAGTGGTTTGTTACTTGTAAAACGTCTAGAGCATTGACCGTGACATTACAAAGGATTCTTTTTTTTCTCTCGAAAAAGGTGCAGGAAAAGCAAACACTCGCAGAGGATTTCAGTCAAATGTGATTGAGGAAGTAGCTCCTTGTCACTTAATCTCGTCAATTTGAAGTGGCAAGGGAAAGCAGGATGGGGTAGGGAGGGGCAACGAAATACTACTGAACTGTAAGAATTTACCGTGTCTCACTTCGACGACGATACTCAACGGCATAACAACTAAGCAGACGAGCAGATCGGCGAGAGCAAGTGAGAAGAGGAAGTAGTTGGTGACGTTATGAAGACGGCGGTCGGTGGCGATCGCGATGCAGACCATGGCGTTGCCGATGAGTCCGACAAG